CAAACCTCTCCAGCACAGGACTCCTCCTGTGTCCGTGGGAAACGCTGGCCGCGGGCGCTCCCCTCCCAGCTGACTTTAGGTTCCTCTGTCTTCTGATTTGTGGGGGACCCAGAATCAGAGTATTGAAATTAGATATGGAGAAATTTGGAGAGAGACATGTGGCAATAGGGCAGAGACACACTCAGCTGAGATAGTGAGATACACGCAAGAGGCTGAGACATTCAGAGAGCAGAAAGCTAGAGTTCGAGCAGAGTAAGGTGCAACGGAAGATAGACTCGGAGAGTCTAAGTGTGCAAACCTGATGTTAACTGGACATGGGGGCTATGTTATTAGGCCAGTTCCTGCTCATCTTCCGTGGACTCTTGAAAACCCACCCGTATTTATACAGGAGTCCAGGATCGCTACTAAAGCTTTGCACTAATGTCTCCAAATTCAGCTCCTGTCCAGGCTTGGAGGGAGAGAAACGGACTCCTGCCCATCTCAACCTGAGGATTTCAGCAGCAGATGTCTAGTGCCGCTCTAGGAGATGTCTCTTCAGCTGGGAAGAAAACTCCATCTGCTCCAGGCTTCCTTCCGTTTCGTGTGCAGTGCTGCGCCATCAAAGTATGTTGCCCAAAGACTTCGAAAGCCCAGACTCCAGAGTGGAGTCTTTGAGAGTGGAGTTTGCAGAACAATGACCTAAGTTCGAGTCCAGACCCCACAGTTTGAATTTATATAAGTCATTTGCCTTCTGAGCCTGTTTGCCCATTTTGTAAATTTGGGAATAGGTAATAATAGTGATCTCTTGGAGTTGGTTGTGGTGATGATGAGACTCTAGAGACCAAAGATGTGTAAGCCCTCAGTCTGAAGTGCAAGGCTATACTAGCAAGAGGACTTTCTTCTGTTTCTGGAACCTAGTGGACCATACACTCCCTGTGGGCTTCCCAGCTGTTACCTGGGGCTCTGAGCTCTGACAGGGGCCCATGTAGTCTTAAGGCTCACCTCCCACAGAAGCCACAGCTGTATTTCTTTCCAGCAGGCCCAGTGCAGAGACGGGAGATAGGAGGAGGAGGCCACCCCATGGGAGATCTGGCTCCCTCACAAGCCCCATAGGACCTCTCGGTGTCTTCCTGAATCTGCGGTCTACACCTTCCTCTCAGCATCCTTGCTAGAGGTCTCTTTTAGACTAGACACCCCTACTGAAGTCTCTTCTCCTGGAGCCTAGAGATATAAGCAAGAGAGGTCTTTGTGCCTTTCCCACTAACTTTCGGAAGCTGTCCTAACTGGCTTTCTGGATGCTGGGAAGCCCTCCCTTCCCTCTAAACCTAAAGGACCCTTTTAGGAGTCCTGCCTTCTTCACTTTTTTGCCATTTATAGTAGTGCTGAAGGTCCCCTTCATGCAATGCTCACCTCTCTCCACTCCATAATGCCACCTTCATTTATTCATTCAGCACATATTATGGAGCATCTATTATGTGTCAGGTACTGGTCTAGGTATTGGAGAGAGACCCTTCTCTCATGGTGCTTATATTTTGGAGTAAGGTGACAGATAATAAATGAACAAACAAGGAAGTATACAACGTGAGGAGGTTATAAGTTTTATGAAGAAAAATAAAACAAGGCAAGGGAACAAAGTGATGAAGATTATTTCATTATATGGAGTGGTCAAAGAAGGTTTCTCTACATTTGAGCAAAGACCTGAATGAAAGGAGAGCAGAAACAGATATCCGGAGCCAGGGGAACGCATGTGCAAAGGTCCTGGGCCAACACTGTGTTTGGCAGATTTTAAGTACAGAAAGGAGGGTGATATTATCAGGGTGAGCAAGTGGGAGTGTGGTAGGAGATGGGGTCAGACAGAAAGCAGACAAATTGTATCGTGAGATGGAAAGCCACTGGAGGGCTTGAGCAGGAGAGAAGAATGTCACCATCTGACTTATATTTTAATAGGAGCACGCTGGTTATAGTGAGCAGGGCAGAAGCAGGAAAACCAATTAGGATGCTATTGCAATAATCCAAGCAAGTGGTGATTATGGCTTAGATCTGGGTGGCAGCAATAGAGATGGTGAAAGTGTCTGAACTCCAGATATATTTTGAAGTTAGAGCCAGCATGATTTATTCATAATTGTGGGCAGTGAGACAAGAGAGGAGTTAAGGATGACTCCTGGAAGAATGAAGTTGGGGAAGAGCAGGTTTGCGGATGGCAGATCAAAAGTCCAAGTTTGGGCAAAATTTGAAATGGGTATTCAATATCCAGGTGGAGATGTCAAGTAAGCAAGGGGATTTATGAGGCTGGAGTCCCAGAGGGAAAGTCTGGGTATGTGGAAGACCTGTCCACTTGACCTCTAAGACATCTCTCAAATCTCTCCATCCCCGGTGTCGCCATTCTGGACTAAGCTGCCATACTGCTGACCTGGATGACCCAATAGCCTCCTAGCTGTTCTCCTCACTTCTGCTTTTGCCCCAGTATGATCCATTTGCTACACAGCAGCCTCTACCATCCTTTAAAAAACATAAATGGGATTATGTCCCTCTTGTGCTTCAAACTCCCTAACAGCTTCTCATTGCATTTAGAATAAAATGTCATGTCCTTACTCTGGCCTATAAGGGCCCTGTAAGACTTGCCTTCAGCTCATCTCTGCAATTTCACTTGGAACCACTGTCTCCTTTGATCACTCCATTCTAATCTGACCTCCTTTCCTGTCTTCCAACACAGGGGTCCCCAAACCTTGGGCTGCAGACTGGTACCAGTCTGTGGCCTGTTAGGAACCAGGCTGCACAGCAGGAGATGAGTGTCAGGTGAGCCAGCAAAGCCTCATCTGTATTTGCAGTTGCTCCTCAGCGCTAGCATCCCCACCTCAGCTCCATATCAGATCATTGGCATTAGATTCTCATAGGAGCATCGGTTCCTGGTGCCAAAATGGTTGGGGACTGCTGTTCCAACACTTGGGGCACGGCCTTGCCTTGGAGCCTTGTGCTTGCTGATTATAGCAGCTTCCCCTTGGGCTCTTCTCAATATTAACTTCTTTTCATATATCAGGTCTCAGCTCAAATGTTTCTTCCTTGGGATGTCTCTGGCCACTCTCTCTAAGTTAGCTGGGTCACATCACTCTGCTCATTTCCTTAGCATAACTACTATTTAGTTATCTTCTTGATTAGTTTGTTCATTGATCGACATAGCCCCATGGAGGCAGGGACGTTTTGTTCACCATGGCATTTCCGGAAACCATCACAGTGGCTGTCGTATTGTAGGAACTTGATAAATGAATGAATGAGTGAACGGGTGGCCTCATGCCCTTTGAATCTCTATGCATATATTTGAACTTCTTGAAATATGTCATTAATGAAGATGGTTGTATTTCTTCTAAACTGGACAGTTGCATACACAATTAGATATACTTTCTCGGTCACACTTGCTCTTTCCGGGCAAGACTCAGTCCAATCGGCCTGGGCATGCTCCTTTATGTTGAACAGTTACACATGGCTTTTTTCATTTGACTTACATGCACAATGAAGAATGTGAATAATTATTACATTAGTGATTTAGATTGAAACAAATACTTCTTCCTACTTGCTCAAGCCTCAGCAGAATGCCTGGCACATAGTAGGCACTCAAATATTTGTTGGATGAATGAATGAATCAAACCATTTAACTGAAAAGTACCCTGAGATTTCCAGGTGAGCTCTTCAAACCATTTATCCATACAAATCTAGATTTTCCTCAAACCTGAGCAAGCAAAGAAAACACAAATAAATTGGATACTGAGACTTAAATGATTACAACTTTGCTTTTTATGTTTTGTATTTGTAAAAACCACCTTGGGGATGTCATCAATGTGACTTTACAATAAATAAATGTTATATGTTCGAACTTACCAAACACATTTAATATTTTATCACTTGTGGTTTGGAAATCTAAACTGCTTTGACAGTTTTAAACTTGATGTGAAGCTTCATCTTCAGTAATTAGGAAGCACTGTTTTAAAACACACACACACACTCTAGTGGTACATGCAACTTTTATATAATACTTTCATGTGGGGTTTTGTTTGCTACAAGGCTTCTGATACTGAAAGAGTTTGGAGATCACTGGATTCAGCGACTTTTACAGACCTCTCTGGGCCTGGGACCCATGCCTGGCCAGGATCACTTTTCTGGTTGTGCCACCACATCTTTGGGGGAGAGGTTTGCCAATACCATCATCCTACCCCTGGCCCGAAAGAGCAGGGAGAAGTGTGTCCGCCCTGAGACCTGGTGCCTTTTAGTCTTAGTGCTGGGTTAGGAGCAGAGAGGGAAAGGACGTCCAGTTTGGAAGCTGAAAGAGTCAGGTGTGTCCCTCAGGGACACAGGTGCTGCACTTGTTCTGGGAGAGCCCCATGGCAATGAGCTGAGACACCTATGGAGGGGGCATCCCTCAGCACCTCTCCCTCCAACTCAAGGCTGAGCAGCCTGGTGGACTATGTGACGTGGGGCAAGTAGTGTCCTCAGCCAGGGTCTTGGTTTCCGGTCTTCACAAAGAGGAGCAACTTTGGCAGCAGGTGAAGAGGGAGGGCTTCCTGGGCTCTTCTTCTTCCACCCTTTCCAGTCCCCCTTCCTCAGCTCCCTTGGCCTAGGGCTATAAATGGAGAGCCAGCCTCTGGGCAAGAATGCAGAACG